AAGTGAACATGCTTTGAAATTCAACTTCGATGCAACAAACAACATGGCCGAGTATGAAGCCCTGCTACTTGGTCTGCAGTTAGCATTGGAATTAAAACTCAGTGCGATCTAGGTATACTGTGACTCCCAGCTGGTGGTGAACCAAATTAACTCAATCTGCGAAGTTGTTGATCCTGTGATGATCAAATATGTAGCTCTGGTCGCCGAGCTGAAGTGCAAATTCCAGAAATTCTGTCTGAGCAAAATCCCCCGAACTGAGAATGAACAGGCAGATTCACTCTCTAAATTCGCCTCTGAAAGTTCTTCACATTCCAGATCAGTTTTTGTGGAAGTCTTAGATGAACCAAGCTTCATGAAGCCACGGGTGATGGAGATCAGCACCGACCCAGGCACACCGAGCTGGACTGACCCAATCCTCTCTTTCTTACGAGATGGGATAGTACCTGAGGACAGGCAGGAGGCAATGAAGTTGAGGAGGAAAGCATCTCGGTATGCACTTGTTGATGGGGTCCTCTATAAGCGATCTTTCTCTCTACCTCTTCTACGGTGCTTGAATCCCTATGAAGCAGAATATGCACTCAGGGAGGTACATGAAGGTGTCTGCGGAAGTCACGTGGGTGCTCAAACTTTGGCTCATAAAGTCCTTAGACAAGGTTATTATTGGCCCAACATGTACAATGATGCCACTCACTTTGTTTAGAGATGCTTGAAATGCCAGTTCTTTGCACACCTGACTCACCAGCCTGCAGAAGAACTCACTACTTTGGTAGCACCATGGCCATTTGCTCAGTGGGGATTGGATCTTTTGGGCCCATTCGTGAAGGGGGTTGGTGGTGTAACCCACCTGATTGTTGGTGTGGATTACTTCACAAAGTGGGTTGAAGCTCGGCCATTATCCAGTTTTACTTCCAAAAAGGTTGAAGACTTTGTTTTCAGCTCAATCATCTGCAGATATGGGATCCCGAATCAGATTGTGGCTGATAATGGAACGCAATTTAACTGCACCTCTTTTCGAGATTTCTGTACAGCTATGGGATTAAACTGCAGTTCACCTCGGTTTACCATCCGGAGTCCAACGGCATGGTCGAATCTGTTAACAAGTGTATCTTAGAAGGTATAAAGCCGAGGCTGGAACAACACAAGGCCAAATGGGCAGACGAGCTCAACAACGTCCTCTGGGCATACAGAACTACGGGTCGAACTGCCACATGTATTGCTCTAACACCTGGCCTATTTGACTAATTTATATTATTTTACTTCTTCTGCTACGGTTTTACCTTAGAGCAAAAATGCATAATGTGTAAAGCGCATTCTAAAGTCATAATCCACTGAAATAGGCGAAACACCTTATCATCTGGCCTTCGGAACCGAAGCAGTCATTCCAATTGAAATAGGAGTCCCGAGCTTCAGGGTCACCCATTTCGATGAAAGATGAAATGGATAGCTGCTTCGGGAGAACCTTGATTTGCTTGATGACGTTAGAGAAGAAGCGCGACTTCGAACTCTAGTCTACAAGCAGAAGATAGCAAACTTCTACAACAGACGAGTTCGACCCCGAACATTCAACGTAGGAGACCTTGTTCTCAGGAAAGCTGGTCTAACGGGGTTCGAAACTCGATTCGGGAAGTTGGCACCAAACTGGGAAGGCCCCTACACTGTCGCAGAAGTGCCGCACCCAGGTGCTTATATCCTACGGGACACTGAAGGAAAAAGGGTTCCTAGAGTCTGGAATGTCAATAATTTGAAGAAATTTTACCTTTAATGTATCTTTTTCCAGTAAACTTTGTCTCATTTTTATATTCATTGTTATTCTATTTGTGTCCGAACTCAATTCCTTTACATCGTTAATGAACTTCACTTCACTTTCGAAGTGATTCAGTCCTTTCATTATAACTTATTCAGTCGCTTCATCTGTTGGGTTATGATTTTATTATACTTACATTTGAAGTGATTTACTCATTTCTATATTTGAAGTCCGCCTCTTATATATATATCCAAGGTCAGTTCCTCTGCTCGAGATCAGAACCTTGTATTAAATAAAGTTACTCTATTTTATCCGAAGTCATTCACTTAAAATAAACTAGCAATTTGAAACCAAAACTGGAGACCAAGAGTAAAACTTTAAAAATTTTATAAAATCTCAACAAATGTTATTTACAAATATAACTAACAAAATAAAAACCTAAGCTACTCTGTTGGAGGAGGAGGCTGCTCCTCAACAGGAAGAGGTGGTAGAGGTGGCTCGTCTCCAGCAGGCAAGACTGGCACTTCTGCTTCAGGAGGGGGCAGCAGCTGCACCTCGTCAGAGGAGACTGGCTGCACTTCGGGAGGCTGCACTTCGGCCATTGCTGCTTGATCCTCAACTCCAGCGTCTTGCGCTCCTTCTTCTTCTTCTTCTTCTTCTTCTTCTTCTCCCTCCACAGCCACCAACTCAGCATCAAAGGTTGGAGGAAAAATGGTGCGTCCCTCTGCATCACGCTCCCACCTTAGAGTAATCTAAGGACGGAAGTCAGCACAGAGACTCTCACCATCTTCCTCCACTCCTTCTTCTTGTTCCCCAAAGGTGACCGTTGTCACGTCCACCTCTAAGTACTGGGCCTTCACCTTCTTTCTACAGTCGGTGAAGGCCAGGATGGCGGTTGGCAGCCGGTAGAGTTTAAGGATGCTCTCGAATGTGCTGGAGTTGAGGAAGTTGCCAATGTGCTCCTCCATCCCGTTGTGAACCAGCAGGTTCACATTCTTCTTCAGCTCCGCTGCTCCTTTCCTCATGCTGTCCATATATTTGTCCTAAGCCTCAACCTTCTCCTCACAGATCTTCCTCTTACGTTCTTCGAGGACAAGCTTCGTGCTTAGGACATTATTCTCGTTCTGAAGCTCGATCACTGAAGGGAGAACTTCATCCAGCCTCCTCTGCATCTCTCTCTTCTCCTTCTCCCATACCCCTTTCTTCTTCTGCAGCTCATCCTTCTCCTTCTGAAGCTGCTCGCACTGCCTCTGCAAGCTGGCACGATCTCTAACGCTCTCTGCATACTCTTGCGCTAGAGCGTTTGTCCAGCTCGCACTCTACAATGCAATCCGAAGTCAGACATCAGACACAGGACAAAAAACTCAAACATACAACCGGAGTAAAATCTAATTATTTCGCATACCTCTAGGGCATGCCTCACAACGGTATACCCCGCATGGCTCACCACCTCGTCCTTCGCCCGCATCCTATCCACCTCAAGAAGAGTAGCGTTGAGGAAGTGCTTCGCCCCAGTCTTGTTTGTCGCCTCAAACAAACTTTTCTGGTATACGTGAGGAGGGGTGTGCTCCCTACCCCCATCAAGGCCTCGCACTTCGACCTCTCCCCTCTCCCCATCTTCAGGATTGATTTCTGGAGGAGAAGACCGGGGCACGAACTCCACCACCTCGTCCCCCCTGGTTTCTATCTCTGCCACCCTCCTCTTCTTCCTCTGGAGAGGTGCCATCTCCTCGCTTACATCCTCACTACCCCCCATCATAAGCTCCGGCCTTGGCTGCACCTCCATAGCCTGAGCAGAAATGCTGGACAGTCGCCCCCCCTCTGTAACCTCCTTCCCCGCCGCAGTTGAAGTCTTTGACTTCTTCCTTGGCTTCTTGGGGATGCGCAGGCCCCCAGCAGCAGTGACAAACTTGTCCATCTCAACTGCAAAACAAACATCAATGTCAGAACACATCAGTTAAGCTCTCACCAAAATTGCACATTAAAAACATCCACCAACCTTCCCCCAATGAGCTTGGCCCATAGAGCTCAGCAGCATCTATCGCCTCCGGGCTGGTGAGGTACAAGATATCCACTACGTCCCCATCTTCCCTCACCAGCTTCTTCACCTCCTCCACCTCATCCTCATTCAACTTATAGTTGTTCTGCTTAGTTTTCTTCGCTTTCCAAGAAGACAACTGTTCCACTTCGGCATCCCTCCTACTCCACTCGGTATCATCCACAAAGAAGAAATTTTCTTTCCATCCTTTAATGGATGACGGCCCGGGAGAGAATAAATTCTTATTCTCTTTGCCGGACGACCGAGGACCGAAGTGATACCACCCCTTCTCCCCCCTACCCCCAGCCTTAATTATAAAAAAATGTTTGAACATATTCACTGTTGGAACCCCAACCCCCCGAACTCTGCAGTATACAAGAAAACCTATTACTACCCTCATGGCATTTGGAGTTAGTTGGGTTATTCCTATACTATAATCTAATAATAACCCAACCAGTAATTCTGGAATGGGAAACCTAAGCCCTGCAATCAAATAATGCAGGTATATAGGCATCCAATGGTCTCGAGGTGCTGAGCATGCCCTCTCATTCACCCCGGCAGGCCTAAGTAGGACATGGTGAGGAAGTTTGCAGTTACCCACGAGGCCCCTCAGACTATCCCTGCTACCCAGTTCACTCACAAATCCCCTCACCTCGGCCACTACCTCTAAATCTGGGTCATAACACCCATCTACGCCACTCTCGGCCTCCAAAATGTTTGAGGGGATTTCATCCTCCTCCTCTTCTATTACTCTTTGCTCCATTCTATCCCCCACCGTCCTCTCTGAGCTAGTTGGAGACGGACTGGTCTCCGAATCCATGCCACCATATTCCAAGGGCATTACCTCACTTCCCACTACACTCATAGCCTCGTCTGAAGACATCTCAAATTTCTGTATACAGGGGGAGGAGGAACGAAGTCAGGACCCTTAACAATTCGAGCACACTCAATACATTCTCACTCTCAACCCTAATTTCCCTCCAAAAACCCAAAATCAACCACAGAAAGGGAGAAAGGAGAACAGCACTTCGACAAAACCAAGATAAAAAATTCATAAACATTACCTGATTTTGGTCTTGAAAACTGTTGTTGAAGTCTTGATCAAAGCGCAAACCGCACGAAACCGTAGAAATTTAGGGAAAATTTTGCAAGAATTTGGAAACAAAATAGCGAAGGTAAAAAACCCCTTTCTACAAGCGTCTAGCCTTTTATACCCAAGGCAAAATACGGCTGTGATTAACCCCATCTAACGGTTACAGTGACACCGATTCGAATTCGACGGTTAACCCCAAACGATGCCGTTTTGAACTCGACGGTTCGTTTTTTACATCTGCCCGTTGGACTGTTACATTTCTCTTTTTACAGAGGCATTTATTACGCACGTCACTCAGAGGACAGCTGTCGCGACGTGCATCATCTCTTTATCAGACTTCTCAAATGGGCCCACTTAAGCCCATCTCAACACTCTTGTTCACTTTTATCCATTTTAAAATTTTACAAGTATTTCACTTCGGCTACGGCCACAGTGACCCAGTGTCACACGTTTTACTTCGGCTACCCAGTGTCACATGATTTACTTCGGCTACGGCCACAATGACCCAGTGTCACACGTTTTACTTCGGCTACGACCACAGTGACCCAGTGTCACACGTCTTACTTCGACTACGGCCACAGTGACCCAGTGTCACATGATTTACTTCGGCTACAGCCACAGTGACCTAGTGTCACATGATTTACTTCGGCTACGACCACAGTGACCCAATGCTACACGATTTACTTCAGCTTTGGCCACAGTAACTCAGTGTCACGTAATTCACTTCGGCCCCAGCTACACTACTCTATTTATGCAATAACCCTATCACTTCCAACAACATCATTCACAAATGAATGACTTCAGGGAGGGGGGAGTAGTGTAAGGGCAGGTCCAAAGTGCCGCACCTCGGACGTACGACAGTAATTCCTTTACAACCGGAATGAAGAGTTACATCCAGAACTCCCTACTCGGACGACTGCACAGCAGTTACGATGGACATCCTCACAACAGATCCCGAATACCTTGCTGGGCTTAATTTCCCGATCCCGAAATAACTGCCTAAAGATACATATCAAATCCCGAATATCTTGCTAGGCTTAATTTCCTGATCCCGAAATAACTGCCCGGAGATACTCACCAAATCCCGAATGTCTTGCTTAGCATGCTGCGTGGGTTCTTCATT